TCCCTCCTCCTGCCTTCTCCCCCTCCTCCTCCTGCCTTCTCTTCCCCTCCCTCCTCCTGCCTTCTCTCCCCTCCCTCCTCCTGCCTTCTCTCCCCTCCCTCTTCTGCCTTCTCTCCCCTCCCTCCTCCTGCCTTCTCTCCCCCCCTCCCTCCTCCCCCCCCTCCTCCCCCTCCCTCCTCCTGCCTTCTCTTCCCCCTCCCTCCTCCTCCTTCTCTCCCCCTCCCTCCTCCCCTGCCTTCTCTTCCCCTCCCCTCCTCCCTGCCTTCTCTCCCCCCTCCCCTCCTCCCTGCCTTCTCTCCCCTCCCCTCCTCCTCCCTCCTTCTCTCCCCTCCCCTCCCTCCTGCCTTCTCTCCCCTCCCCTCCCTCCCCTGCGTCTCCCCTCCCCTCCCCTCCCTGCCTTCTCTTCCCCTCCCTCCCTCCTGCCTTCTCTTCCCCTCCCTCCTCCCCTTGCCCCTCTCCTTCCCCTCCTCTCCTCCCTTCTCTCCCCCTCCCTCCTCCTGCCTTCTCTCCCCCTCCCTCCTCCCTCCCCTTCTCTCCCCCTCCCTCCTCCTGCCTTCTCTCCCCCTCCCTCCTCCTGCCTTCTCTTCCCCTCCTCCTCCTGCCCTTCTCCTCCCCCTCCCCTCCTCCTGCCTTCTCTCCCCTCCCTCCTCCTGCCTTCTCTCCCCCTCCCTCCCTCTTGCCTTCTCTTCCCCCCTCCCCTCCCTCCTGCCTTCTCTTCCCCTCCCTCCTCCTGCCTTCTCTTCCCCTCCCCTCCTCCTGCCTTCTCTTCCCCTCCCTCTCTGCCTTCCCTCCTCCCCTCCCTCCTCCTGCCTTCTCTCCCCCCTCCCTCCCCTCTGCCTTCTCCCCCCTCCCCTCCTCCTGCCTTCTCTCCCCTCCCCTCCTCCTGCCTTCTCTTCCCCTCCCCCTCCTGCCTTCTCTTCCCTCCCCTCCTCCTGCCTTCCCTCTCCCCTCCCTCCCCTCCTGCCTTCTCTCCCCCTCCCTCCTCCTGCCTTCTCTCCCCTCCCTCCTCCTGCCTTCTCTCCCCTCCCTCCTCCTGCCTTCTCTCCCCCCTCCTCCTCCTGCCTTCTCTCCCTCCTCCTCCTGCCTTCTCCCCCTCCCCTCCTCCTGCCTTCTCTCCCCCTCCCTCCTCCTGCCTTCTCTCCCCTCCCCTCCTCCTGCCTTCTCTTCCCCTCCCTCCTCCTGCCTCCCTCCCTCCCTCCCTCCCCTGCCTCTCTTCCCCTCCCTCCCTCCCCCGCCTCTCTCCTCCCTCCTCCCTGCCTTCTCTCCCCCTCCCTCCTCCTGCCTTCTCTCCCCTCCCCTCCCTCCCTGCCTTCTCTCCCCCTCCCTCCTCCTGCCTTCTCTCCCCCCCTCCTCCCTCCTCCTGCCTTCTCTCCCTCCCTCCCTCCCCTGCCTTCTCTCCCCCTCCCTCCCTCCCTGCCTTCTCTCCCCTCCCTCCTCCCTGCCCTCTCCTCCCTCCCTGCCTTCTTCCCCTCCCCCCTCCTCCCCGCCTTCTCTCCCCCTCCCTCCTCCTGCCTCTTTCCCCCTCCCTCCTCCCTGCCTTCCCCTCCCCTCCTCCTGCCTCTCTCCCTCCCTCCTCCTGCCTTCTTCCCCCTCCCTCCTCCTGCCTTTCTCCCCCCTCCCTCCCTCTGCCTCTCCCTCCCTCCCTCCCCTGCTCTCCCCCCTCCCTCCCTCCTCCTGCCTTCTTCCCTCCTCCTCCTGCCTCTCTTCCCCTCCCCTCCTCCTGCCTTCTCCCCCCTCCCCTCCTTCTGCCTTCTCCCCCCCTCCCTTCTGCCTTCTCTCCCCCTCCCTCCTCCTCCTTCTCTCCCTTCCCTCCTCCTGCCTTCTCTTCCCTCCCCTCCCTCCCCTGCCTCTCTTCCCCTCCTCCTCCTGCCTTTCTCTCCCCCTCCCTCCCTCCTGCCTTCTCTCCCCCCTCCTCCCTCCTCCTGCCTTCTCTCCCCCTCCCCCTCCTGCCTTCCCCCTCCTCCTCCTGCCTCTCTCCCCTCCCTCCTCCTTCTCTCCTCCTCCTGCCTCTCTTCCTCCCTCCTTCTGCCTTCTCTCACCCTCCCCTCCTCCTGCCTTCTCTTCCCCCTCCCTCCTTCTTCTGCCTTTCTCTCCCTTCCCTCCTCCCCTGCCTCTCTCCTCCTCCTCCTGCCTTCTTCCCTCCCTCCTTCTGCCTTCTCTCCCCTCCTCCCCCTCCTCCTGCCTTCTCTCCCCTCCCCCTCCCTCCTGCCTTCTCCCCCTCCTCCTCCTGCCTCCCCCTCCCTCCTCCTGCCTTCTCTCCCCTCCCTCCTGCCTTCTCTTCCCCTCCCTCCTTCTGCCTCTCCCTCCTCCTGCCTCTCTCCTTCCCTCCTCCTGCCTCCCCCCTCCTCCTGCCTCTTCCTCCCCTCCCCTCCTCCTGCCTTCTCTCTCCCCTCCTCCCTCCTCTGCCTTCTCTCCCCCTTCCCTCCTCCTGCCTTCTTCCCCCCTCCCTCCTCCTGCCTTCTCTCCCCCTTCCCTCCTCCTGCCTCTCTCCTTCCCCTCCCTCCTGCCTTCTCTCTCCTCCCTCCCTCCTCCCACCTTCTTTCCCCCCTCCCTCCCTCCCTCCTGCCTCTCCCCTTCCCCTCCTCCTGCCTCTCTCTCCCCCCCTCCCTTTTCCTGCCTTCTCTCACCTTTTTCTACCCTGAGACACCACCAACCTGGAAGGACCCTGCCACCTGTCCTAGCAAGGCTCCTGGGGGCGCAGCTGTGCCTGAAAGGGTCTCTAGGGCGCTACTGCTCTTGGGTGGGCTCCAGGTGGCCCTCTCACTTTGAGAGGGCCACAAGTCCAGAGACACCTGGAGGACCCCTGGAGGTTCCACGCTTTGGGAGGACCCTGGGGCCCCGAAACAGGGAGGGCCTCCGAGCCGACACCCTGGAGAGATCCAATGAGGGCGCTGTACCCAGTAGGGCAAATGGCGCCCCACCCAGAACACTGTCCCTGTAGGGCAGCTAGTTGTTGTTTTTCACCACATAGAACAATAGAATATGACGCTAAATAAATACACCGCCCATCGCATTTCCAGCATCATAGCACCATGAACAATGTAAGGAGAATAAATATCCAACAGAAAAACATAAGTTGGGGTGTTGTGCGACTGACTGCTCTGTTCTCCTATTGGCTGTTACTTAGTGGTTACATTTAGTCCACCAATCACAGTTAAGCTAATGAATGGCTGGACACATAAGACACCACGACCAAGCATATAGGGCTGCCAGGAGGCGCATCTGGAGGTCTCTGGGCGCTACACGCCCCGAAGAACCCTGGGGACGTCACCCCCCTGGGAGGTCTCCTAAGGGCACACTGTCCCTGGTAAAAACAAAAGGGGAACACTTCCCCAGAGGCCCCTGGGTCAAACTGCCCCTCAATGGGGTAGGGAAGTCCTCAGGGGCGCCACCACCCTGAACCTCCTGGGGTACAATCGCTGTGCGAGACTCACAGAAGGACCACCGCCCTGGAAGGACCCCACCAGAACCACGCCGACCCAACATGCAGGCCACTCACAAGGCTGTCCCTAGGAGCCCCGTGGACTCCACCGCCTCTAGGTCCCAAGGTGGATGATGTCCCTGGAGATCCCCACAGACGACACCGCCCTAGGAAGCCCCTGGGGCCCCAGCACCACTGAGACGGCCCTGGAAAGCCCTGGGAACGCCACCAGTCCCTGGTAAACCCTGGGGCGCCGCCGTCCTGGAAGGGCTCCCTACGAAGCGATCCTGGTAGGACCAGGGTGCCACTAACTTGACAGGCCCCTGGCGGAGCCGCCAAGATCCTGAATACCGTCGCCCCTGGGGATCCCTGGGGCCGACACCCTGGAGAAACCGCTAGGACTCTGTACCTGGTAAGGCAAATGGCAGCCCCACCCAATAGCACTGTCCCAGCAGGGCAGCTGGGGGCAGTTGTTTCACAGCTCAAGAACAATGGGAGATATGACGCTAACAAATACACAGCCCATCGCATTTCCAGCATCATAGCACCATGAACAATGTAAAAGAGAATAAATATCCAACAAGAAAAACATAAGTTGGGTGTTGTTGACTGACTGCTCTGTTCTCCTGGCTGTTACTAGGTGGATTACATTTAGTCCACCAATCACATTAAGTACACATACACCGTCTCTGAGAGGTCCCCTGAGGTGGATGATGTCACCGAGAATCACACAGGTGACACCGCCCTAAGCGACCTGGGAGCCCCAGCACCCTGAAAAAGGCCCCTGGAAAAACCTGGGACGCCACCGCCTCTGGGAGGCACTCGGAGATGATATCACAGGAAAACCATAGATGCAACACCGCCATGAAGAGGCCCTGGGTTCCCCAGCACCCTCAGAGTCTCCTGGAAAGCCCTAAGATGCCACCGTCCCAGGGCCCCTGGCACTGCCGTCCCTAAAAAAACCCAAGCGCCGTCCCTGGTAGAATACCATTTTAGCCACTGACAGGCGAGCACCCGCCAATAAGGAATCCTCGAGATCCCGCTCGCCTCTGGGAGGGCCTCTGGGAGCGCCAACATCTGGGAAAGCCAAGAGGCGCTCACCTAGTAGAGCAAAAGGCAGGGCCCCAGGTAGCACTGTCACCAGCAAGCAGCATCTGGGGCAGTTGTTCTTCACTATTAGAACAATGAGAATAACTCTAAATAAATACACCGCCCATCGCATTTCAGTATCATAGCACCATGAACAATGAACGGAATAAATATCCAACAGGAAAACATAAGTTGGGGTGTTTTCCTGACTCTGTTCTCCTATTGGCTGTTACTTGGTGGTTACAGTCCAATCCAGATTAAAAATGAATGGCTGGACATATGCAAGTGAAGAACACCACAACCAAAGCAAGCCATACTGTAAGGCTGCCGGAGGGTGCATCTGGTAGGGCCTCTGGAGGCGCCACTGCCCCTGAAGGACCCCTAGGGACGTCACACGCCTCTGAGGAGGTCTCCTAGGGGCGACACTGTCCCCGGTAAAGCGAATAGGGGCGACACTTCCTCAGAGGGCCCCATGGGTCGACACTGCCCCTCAATGGGTCGATGGAAAGTCCTCAGGGGGCGTCACCACCCCTGGGAGGTCTCCTGGGGGTAAAATCGCTTGTTCCGGGCTCGTGCAGGAGCCACCGCCGCTGGAAGAACCCTGGGAAGGCGCCGACCCTAGCAGGGCCACTGGGGGCGCAGCTGTCCCTGCAAGGGCCCGTGGGGACTCCACCGCCTCTGGGAGGTCCCGTGAGGAGGAGGATATCCCCGGGAGACTCCATACAGGCGACACCGCCCCTAGGAAGCGGCCTGGGGCCCCAGCACCCCTGAGCCGGCCCCTGGGAAGGCTCTGGGGACGCTGCAGTCCCTGGGAAGGGCTTTGGGGCGCTGCCCCCCTGAAGGGGCCTTTCGGCTCAGCGGTCTCTGGTAGGATACCGAGGTGCCACTGCCTTTGGGCAGGCCCCTGGGTGCAGTCGCCGTTGGAAGGATCATGGAATCCAGCTCTGGAGGGCCTCTGGGCGCCGCAACCTGGGAGAGAGCCGGTGAGGGCGCTGTACCTAGTAGTAATGCGGGGCCCCAGGTAGCACTGTCCCTGTAGGGCAGCTGGGGCAGTTGTTTTTGCACTATTTAGAACAATGGGAGATATGACGCTAAATAAATACACCGCCCATCGCATTTCCAGTATCATAGCACCATGAACAATGTAAAGGAGAATAAATATCCAACAGGAAAACATAAGTTGGGGTGTTGTGCTGACTGACTGCTCTGTTCTCCTATTGGCTGTTACTAGGTGGATTTACATTTAGTCCACCAATCACAGTTAAGTACATACACCGTCTCTGGGTAGGTCCCCTGGGGTGGATGATGTCCCGAAGAAGTCCATACAGGTGACACTGCCTAGAAAGCGGCCCTGGGAGCCCCAGCACCCCTGAAAAGGCCCCTGGGAAGGCCCTGGGGACGCCACCGCCTCTGGGAGGTACCCTGGGGAGGATGATGTCCCCGGGAGAGTCAGATGCAACACCGCCCCTAGGAAGGGGCCCTGGGTTCCCCAGCACTCCTCAGAGGTCTCCTGGGAAGGCCCTGGGGATGCCGCCGTCCCTGGTAGGCCCCTGGGGGCTGCCGTCCTGAAAAGCCTTTTTGGGCGCCGCAGTCTCTGGTAGGATACCGCAGTGCCACTGCCTTTGGGCAGGCCCTGGGGCGCAGCCGCCGTTGAAGGATCTTGGAGATCCGTCGCCTGTGGGAGAGCCTCTGGGAGCGCCGGCACCCCTGAGAAGAGCCGGTGAGGGCGCTGTACCTAGTAGGGCAAATGGCAGCCCAGGTAGCACTGTCCCTGTAGGGCAGCTGGGGGCAGTTGTTTTTGCACTATTTAGAACAATGGGAGATATGACGCTAAATAAATACACCGCCCATCGCATTTCCAGTATCATAGCACCATGAACAATGTAAAGGAGAATAAATATCCAACGGGAAAACATAAGTTGGGGTGTTGTGCTGACTGACTGCTCTGTTCTCCTATTGGCTGTTACTTGATTTAGTCCACCAATCACAGTTAATGTGAATGGCTGGACATATGCAATATGTAAGACACCCACAAAAAACTATAGGGCTGCCGGAGGGGCGCATATGGTAGGGCCTCTGGGGCGCCACTGCCTCAATGGGTCGATGGGAAGGCCTCAGGGGGCGTCACCACCCCTGGGAGGTCTCCTGGGGGTACAATCGCTTGTGCGAGACTCGTGAAGGAGCCACCGCCGCTGGAAGGACCCCTGGGGGCGGCGCCGACCCTAGCAGGGCCACTGGGAGCGCAGCTGCCCTAGGGCTGGGGGACTCCACTGCCTCTGGGAGGACCCTGGGAGGATGATGTCCCCGGGAGGTCCATAGATGCAACACCGCCCCTAGAAGGGCCCTGGGTTAGCACTTTAGAGGTCTCCTGGGAAGCCTGGGGATCACCGTCCCTGGTAGGGCCCTGGGGCGCTGCCGTCCCTGGAAAAAACGCCCTCGGGCCGCTGTCTCTCTGTGCCACTGCCTTTGGGCAGGCCCCTGGGCGCAACCGCCGTTGGAAGGATCCTTGAAGTCATGCTGGGAGGGCCTCTGGGAGCGCCGGCACCCCTGGGAAGCCGGTGAGGCTGTACCTAGTAAGGGCAAATGCGCAGGGCCCAGGTAGCACTGTCCCTGTAGGGCATAAGGGCAGTTGTTTTGCACTATTTAGAACAATGGGAGATATGACATACACCGCCCATCGCATTTCCAGTATCATAGCACCATGAACAATGTAAAGGAGAATAAATATCCAACAGGAAAACATAAGTTGGGGTGTTGTGCTGACTGACTGCTCTGTTCTCCTATTGGCTGTTACTTGGTGGATTTACATTTAGTCCACCAATCACAGTTAAGTAATGAATGGCTGGACATATGCAATATGTAAGACACCACGACCAAGCAAGCTATAGGGCTGCCGGAGGCATCTGGCAGGGCCTCTGTGATGCCTACCGCCCCTGAAGGACCCCTGGGGACGTCACCGCCTCTGGGAGGTCTCCCTGGGGCGACACTGTCCCCAGTGAAGAAGATAGAGGCGACACTTCCCTCAGGGCCCCTGGGGTCGACACTGCCCCTCAATGGGTCGATGGGAAGGCCTCAGGCGTCACCACCCCTGGGAGGTCTCCTGGGGGTACAATCGCTTGTGCGAGACTCATGAAGGAGCCACCGCCGCTGGAAGGACCCCTGGGGTGGCGCCACCCTAGCAGGGCCACTGGGGGCGCGGCTGTCCCTGGGAGGGCCCGTGGGGACTCCACCGCCTCTGGGAGGTCCGCTGGGGTGGATGATGTCCCCGGGAGAGTCCATACAGACGACACCGCCCCTAGGAAGCGGCCCTGGGAGCCCCAGCACCACTGAGACGGCCCCTGGGAAGGCCCTGGGGACGCCGCAGTCCCTGGTAGGGCCCTGGGGGCGCCGCCGTCCCTGGAAGGGCCCTTTTGGGCGCCGCGGTCTCTGGTAGGATACCGAGGGTGCCACTGCCTTTGGACAGGCCCCTGGGGGCGCAGCCGCCGTTGGAAGGATCCTTGGAATATCCGTCGCCTGGGAGGCCTCTGGGAGCGCCGACACCCCTGGGAGAGCCGCTGAGGACGCTGTACCTGGTAGGGCAAATGGCAGGGGCCCCAGGTAGCACTGTCCCGTAGGGCAGCTGGGGCAGTTGTTTTGCACTATTTAGAACAATGGGAATATGGCTAAAATAAATACACCGCCCATAGCATTTCAGTATCACAGCACCATGAACAATGTAAAGGAGAATAAATATCCAACAGGAAAACATAAGTTGGGGTGTTGTGCTGACTGACTGCTCTGTTCTCCTATTGGCTGTTACTAGGTGGATTTACATTTAGTCCACCAATCACAGTTAAGTAATGAATGGCTGGACATATGCAATATGTAAGACACCACGACCAAGCAAGCTATAGGGCTGCCGGAGGGGGCGCATCTGGTAGGGCCTCTGGTGGAGCCACTGAATCTGGCAGGGCCTCTGTGTGCGCTACCGCCCCTGAAGGACCCCTGGGGACGTCACCACCTTTAGGTCTCCTAGGGGCGACACTGTCCGGTAAAGCGAATCGAGGCGACACTTCCTCAGAGGGCCTAGGGGTCGACATTGCGCCTTAGACGGCCCATGGGAAGGCCCCGGGTGTCACCTGGGAGGTCTCCTGGGGGTAAATGCCTCTGCCTGGCTCGTGGGATCACCACCGCTCTAAGGACCCTGGGGGCGGCCGGACCCTAGCAGGGCTGGCGCAGCTGTCCCTAGGGCCCGTGGACGCCACCGTCTCTGGGTAGGTCTGGGGTGGATGATGTCAGGAGTCCACACAGGTGACACCGCCCTAGAAAGCGCTGGGAGCCCCAGCACCCTGAAAGGGCCTGGAAGGCCCTGGGGACGCCACCGCCTCTGGGAGGTACCCTGGGAGATGATGATGTCCCGGAGAGTCCATAGATGCAACACCGCCCCTAGGAAGGGGCCCTGGGTTCTCCAGCACTCGTGAGACGTCCCTGGGAAGGCCCTGGGGATGCCGCTCGTCCCTGGTAGGGCCCTGGGGGCACTGCCGTCCCTGGAAAAACCCTTTGGGCGCACCGCGGTCTCTGGTAGGATATTGCGGGTGCCACTGCATTTGGGCAGGCCTCTGGAGCGCAGCTGCCGTTGGAAGGATCATTAGAAGATCCGTCGCTCCTGGGAGGCCTCTGGGAGCGCCGACACCTGGGAGAGCCGCTGAGAGCGCTGTACCTGGTAGGGCAAATGGCAGGGCCCCAGGTAGCACTGTCCCTGTAGGGCAGCTGGGGGTTGTTGTTTTAAAATTATTTAGAACAATGGGAGATATGACGCTAAATATATACAATCGCCCATAGCATTTTCAGTATCATAGCAATCGGCGAACAAATGTAAAGGAGAATAAATATCCAACAGGAAAACATAAGTTGGGGTGTTGTGCTGACTGACTGCTCTGTTCTCCTATTGGCTGTTGCTAGGTGGATTTCTACATTTAGCCCACCAATCACAGTTAAGTAATGAATGGCTGGGACATATGCACATGTAAGACACCACAACCAAGCAAGCCATACTGTAAGGCTGCCGGGAGTGGGGGTGCATCTGTAGGGCCTCTGGGCGCCACTGCCCTGAAGGGACCCCTGGGACGTCACTGCCCTGGGAGGTCTCCTAGGGCGACACTGTCCCGGTAAAGCGAATAGGGGCGACACTTCCTCAGAGGGCCCCCCTTGGGTCGACACTGCCCTCACTGGGTCGATGGGAAGGCCTCAGGGGCGTCACCACCCTGGGAGGTCTCCCCTGGGGGTACACCGCTTTCAGTGAGACTCGTGAAGGAGCCACCGCTGCTGGAAGGACCCTGGGGCGGCGCTGACCCTAGCAGGGGCCACTGGGAGCGCAGCTGTCCCTGGGAGGGCCCGTGGGGACTCCACCGCCTCTGGGTGGTCCGCTGGGGTGGATGATGTCCCTGGAGAGTCCATATGACGACACTGCCCCCAGGAAGGGAAGTCTGGGAGCCCCAGCACCACTGAGACGGCCCTGGGAAGGCCCTGGGATGCTGCAGTCCCCAGAAATTCTGGGGCGCTGCCGTCCTGAAGGGCCCTTTTGGCGCCGCGGTCTCTGGTAGATACCGAGGGTGCCACTGCCTTTGACAGGCTCCCTGGGGCGCAGCCGCCGTTGGAAGATCCTGAATATCCGTCGCCCCTGGGAGGGCCTCTGGGAGCGCCGACACCCTGGGAGAGCTGCTGAGGGCGCTGTACATGGTAGGGCAAATGGCAGGGCCTCTGTAGTAATTGTCTCTGTAGGGAAGCAGTTGGGGGGCAGTTGTTTTTGCACTATTTAGAACAATGGGAGACACGCCAACAAAATACACCGCCCATCGCATTTCCAGTATCATAGCACCATGAACAATGTAAAGGAGAATAACATCCAACAGGAAAACATCAGTTGGGGTAAGCAGTTGACTGACTGCTCTGTTCTCCCTATTGGCTGCTGGGGCAGGTGGATTTTTACATTTAGTCCACCAATCACAGTTAAGTACATACACTGTCTCTGGGTAGGTCCCTGGGTGGATGATGTCCCCTGGGAGAGTCCATACAGGTGACACTGCCCCTGAAAGCGGCCCGCAGCCCCAGGCACCCTGAAAGGCAATTCTGGGAAGGCCTTGGGGGACACGCCCTGGGAGGTACCCTGTGGAAGGATGATGTCCCCGGGAGAGTCCACATAGATGCAACACTGCCCCTAGGAAGGGGCCCTGGGTTCCCAGCACTGGAGACGTCCCTGGGAAGGCCCTGGGATGCCGCCGTCCCTGGTAGGGCCCTGGGCGCTGCTGAACCCTGGAAAGCCCTTGGGCGCCGCGGTCTCTGGTAGGATACTGCGGGTGCCACTGCCTTGGGCAGGCTCCCTGGGGCGCAGCTGTTGGAAGGATCATTAGAAGATCCGTCGCTCCTGGAGGGGCTCCTGGGAGCGCCGGACACCCCTGGGAGAGCCGCTGAGGGCGCTGTACCTGGTAGGGCAAAATGCAGGCCCCAGGTAGCACTGTCCTTGGAAAGGCTTTTCGGGGGGTTGTTGTTTTTGCACTATTTAGAACAATGGGAGATATGACGCCAAATATATACACACCTGCCCATAAAGTATTTGTGCATCATAGCACCATGAACAATGTAAAAGGAGAATAAATATCCAACAGGAAAACATAAGTTGGGGTGTTGGTGCTGACTGACTGTTTGTTCTCTATTGGCTGTTGCTAGGTGGATTTACATTATCCACCAATCACAGTTAAGTAATGAATGGCTGGGACATATGCAATATGTAAGACACCACGACCAAGGTTACAGGGGCTGCCGGAGGGGGGCGCATCTAGAAGGCCTCTGGGGGCGCCATCAGCCTGGCAGGGCCTCTGATGGAGCCACCGACCTGGCAGGGCCCCTGTGTGCGCTACTGCCCCTGAAGCGACCCTGGGACGTCACCGCCTGTGGGTGGTCTCCAGGGGCAACACTGTTCTCGGTAGCGAATAGAGGCGACACTGCCTCAGAGGGCTCCCTGGGGCTCGGGACACTGCCTCTGGAGACGGCTCCATGGGAAGGCCCCTGGGGCGTCACCACCCCTGGAGGTCTCCTGGGGGTAAATCGCTTGCAAGGAGGCTCGTGCAGGAGCCACTGCCGCTGAAGAACCCTGGGAAGGCGCGCTGACCCTAGCAGGGGCCACTGGGGGCGCAGCTGTACCTGGAAGGGCCCATGGGGACTCCACCGCCTCTGGGAGGTCCCAAGAGGAGGATGATATCCCTGGAGACTCCATACAAGGACACTGCCCCTAGATGGCTCCGGGAGAGCCTCAGCACCCTGAGCGGTTCCCGGGAAGGCCCTGGGGACGCTGTGTAACCCTCGGTAGGGCCCCCGGGGCACTGCCGTCCCTGAAAGTGCCCTTTAGGCGCCGCGGTCTCTGGTAGGATACCGAGGGTGCCACTGCCTTTGGGCAGGCCCCTGAGGGCGCAGTCGCCGTTGGAAGGATCCTCTGAAGATCCGTCGCCTCTGGGAGGGCCTCTGGGAGCGCCGACACTCCTGGGAGAGCCGCTGAGGGCGCTGTACCTAGTAGGGCAAATGGCAGCGCCCCAGGTAGCACTGTCCCTGGGAAAGGAAGCTAAAGCAGTTGATTTTGCACCATTTAGAACAATGGGAGATATGACGCTAAATAAATACACCGCCCATCGCATTTCCAGCATCATATGTAAACACTGACGGGCCAGTTTGCATGGGATTAACACCTTTGAAGGATGATTCACATAACGAGAGGTAATAATACAACGACTGTTAGTTAATTGGTATTTACTGAGTGACAGGTGAAGCACACAATAAGAGTGAAGTGAGAGGCTTCAGTCAGGTGGATCAGGAGCAGTAGTGACTGTCTGTGTGTTGATTGATGGCCTTTCAGTCAAGGTTCAGTCTTCATCGACACCTGTAAGAACAACACCATTTAACACACCTGTAACAACAACATTTAACACACCTGTAACAACAACATAAACACACCTGTCTCTTATGTTGCTAGAGGACAAATATAATATAATACAACATTAAGTAAACACACACACACACACACACACACACCTTACCTGCCCACCACTGGGTCCCTGGGCCGTCCTCACAGCGGCCCACACGCTCCAGTTCAAGGTGAGGTTTCTTACACACGGCGGAGTCAAGGAAACACGTGTTGCTGTAGGTGTTGCCGTCTGAACCACACACAGGATCGTATTCGAGTATACATATTCCACCACAATTACTGTAGGGTTAAAGTGATGTTGATGGCTTTAGTATTGCTGACTGTGATGGTTTGAGTGGTAACTGAGGGAGGTTGGCTTGGGCTGGGTTAAGATGTCTTGAGAGTGGTGGTGGTGATGTTATTGTTGGTGTTTTGCGTAGGTTGATGCACAAAGACATAATTTGTACACTTAACAACAACATTCAGTATATAACAATGAACAACAACAAAACAAACAAACAGTGATGGAGAAACATAAAAGTCAAAACCAAACAGGAAACTGAACCTACTTGGAGCAGCGGCCACCAGCGCCACCAGCAACACGGCGGCCATCCAACTACTCGACCCATGATCCTCAGATGTAAACAACGTCTTGATTCTGTAATACACCTGAAGATGATTACCTGTTGTTACCTGTTGGGTGTGTTACCTGTTGTGTGTGTTACCTGTTGTGTGTGTTACCTGTTGTGTGTGTTACCTGTTGTGTGTGTTACCTGTTGAGTGTGTTACCTGTTGAGTGTGTTACCTGTTGTGTGTGTTACCTGTTGTGTGTGAGACCTGTTGAGTGTGTTACCTGACGTATATGCTCCATAGGGTAAGTGCAGTCACCAGTGGTCCGGGAATCCACGAATGGGTGATCCCGAGTTACGGATACCGAGCGCTTATTGGATTATCGTTTAATACTTCATAAATTCTACATTCTACAGGTCAGTAAAGACAAGGACACACTCTACAAAACCTGTACAGCTGCATCACAGGTGTAAGAATAGTCTAATGTTGTTGTAGATATGAGTTTAGTTAGACAGCTGTAGAGGAACTGACCTGGGAGATGTGATCGTGACGGCGGCAACAAGCAGACTGAATTCTCCAAAGTAGGTAGATACCAGGTAGCCTCACTCTCGTAGGGTCTACGCTAATGAAAATAAAAATTCCCGTCCTGTGTCAGGCTGACGGGATTTTCGACTCTTGTTTACCGAACACACTGATTGGTTCACCTGCTCGCGTTGTGATTGGTTTCATAAGAACATAAGAAAATAAGGAGTCTGCAATGGGCCGGTTGGCCTGTGCATGCTTCCTGTCGAGAGTTACTACCACTCTCTATCATCCATGAATCTACCTAGCCTCCTTTTGAAACTTTCCAGAGTTCCCGCACTTACTACAAAGTTGCTAAGCTTGTTCCACTCGTCCACCACCCTATTTGTAGACCAGTTCCTTCCTATCTTCCTCCTAAACCTAAACTTATCCAACTTAAATCCGTTGCTCCGAGTCCTATCCTGCTCGGATATTATAAGAACTATCTATATCCCCTTTATTGATTCCTTTCACCCACTTAAATACTTCTATCATATCTCCCCGCACTCTTCGTCTTTCTAGGGAATGCAAGTTACGTTTCTTTAGCCTATCCTGATATGGAAGGCTTCTAAGTCCCGGAATCATTTTTGTCATTCTTCGCTGCACCGACTCTAGTGAATTTATATCCATTCTATAATAGGGCATCAGAACTGAACCGCATAATCGAGGTGTGGCCTCTGACTAGCGCAGATATAGTTGCAATAAAACCTCTGCACTCTTTTTACTTACACTTCTAGATATAAAACCCAATACTCTGTTTGCCTTATTTTGAACATTAACGCACTGTTTTTCTGAGCCGTAGGTCGGGCTTACAAGTACCCCTAGGTCTCTTTCACAATTCGACTTCTCTAGGTTGATGTTTTTAAGGCTGTATACATTATAAGTATTTGTTCTTCCAATATTAAGTACGCTGCACTTGCTGGTGTTGAATTTCATTGCCATTTTCAGACCTCCCTGCAGTTTATTTAGATCCTCCTGTAATGCATTTGCATCCTGCCCTGAATTAATTTCCGCCCTATTTTGGTGTCATCGCAAACTTAGCACTTGAACATAAGGACGGTGGGATACTGCAGGAGGCCGACTGGCCCATACAGGGCAGATCCCTTTCACACCCATCCCAGCACTTCCATGTGCCTATCCAACTTCGTCTTGAAGCTCCTAGCGTCCCCGATCCTACTATAGCACTCGGTAGCCTATTCACATATCCACAACTCTATTTCCAAACCAGTGCTTGCCTATATCCTTTCTGAATCGGAATTTATCTAATTTAAAGCCATTTGTTCTAGTTATTTCGTTATTACTGAGCTTCAGAACATCTTCCATTTTACCCTTGTTAATCCCCTTACCCCTTGTACACCTCTATCATATCTCCCTAACTCTACGCCTCTCTAATGAATGTAAGCCTAAGCTTTTCAGTCTTTTTCTTCATATGGAAGGTTTCTAATATTATGGATCATTTTGTCATTCTTCTTTGTACTCTCTCCAAGAATCTATGTCCATTCTATAATAAGGACACCAGAACTGAACCGCATTATCCATGTGTGGCCTCACTGATCCCAGTATCTAGATCGTTTATGAGATTATGAACAAGAGTGGGCTAATACTGACCCACTGGGAACCCCACTGGTTACACGGCCCCACTCAGATTTAACACCATCTACGCTGACCCTCTGCGTTCTATCAGTGAGCCATGATTTTATCAATTTAAAACTTTCCCTCGATACCATGAGCCTTAATTTTTCTCAGAAGCCTCTGATGCGGTACTCTGTCAAATGCTTTGCTAAAGTCTAAGTAAATAACATCGTAATTTTCGTCATTATCTACTACCTCGAAGACTTTCCTATAAAACGTTAGCAGATTTGTTAGACAAGATTTTCCTTTGTAAACCCATGTTGAGAGTCATAGATTAATTTGCTTTTCTCTAGATGCGATCGGATGCTATCTGCTATAATTGATTCAAGAAATTTCCCCACTACTGACGTCAATCTGATCGGCCGGTAATTTGACGCTGATGCTCTGTCTCCTTTTTGAATATGGTACTACATTTGCCTGTTTCACAAGTCTGGCACAACTCCGTGTCTAATGATTTTGTAAATAAGTTTACAGGGTCCGCTAATCTGTTCCCTACACTCTTTCAAGACTAGGAAAATTTCATCCGGCCCTGGGATTTTGTTTTCTATAGTTTATTTATCTTCTTAAGAAAATCCTCTTTTCTGATAGTGATATTCTTTAATTTCTCTTCTTCCTTTCTCTTAAATATCAGTTCCACCTTCTGTGAAAACTGATAACAAGTAGCTGTTCAATGCTTTGTATTTCCTCACGCCATTTATCACTTCTCCTCCTGACTTTAAAGGCCCAACTTTGTCCTTGACC